GCACACGCATGCAGATTGCTACTTGCCTTCTATCGAATCAATACTTATGCCCTAACGCCTGATGAGCATCCTATTTCCTACATAACACGGATGTCGTCCCAGATTTACCCTGTAATGAGTTAGGCCTCGATTATATGCAGAACCCACAACTGATGAAGTCAAAGGTGGTATTTGGAGGTGGTACCATCATTCAAGCCCGCACAGCGCACAGCGCAATGGCACATCTGGTATGTTTGATAATCCTGGACACCTCAGACCCATATTCGTCGCACCTCACATTCACCTTCCTTCGCACAGGTATCGCCAGAGTACGGTTTGGCTTGTCAGACAGCATGACTACTCCTAACCATCTACCGACATGGATTCTACTGTCTCCGTATGAGCGGGCGCGATCACATGAGAATGCGGATGATGACCCTTGCAATTGGTCTCCTCTCTCTTCTCATGAATTCCAGTGAGCACCCTTTTTCAACTACTTCAGCCTATAGTCTCATTGACATCCACAGGGCCCTGGTGTCTGCACGAACCACGTTCGGGACGGGACGATTCTTCCCTGCAGGTACCGGGTCATGATGTCGATCAGATCATTCGAATGAGGCACGAAAGCGTGGGCTGGGGGTCGCCCACATTGACAAATAGCGGCAATACAGGAAATCGCGGAAGGAGGGAATCATAAGCCCCAGTTGGCCGATCATGTTTGCTGACCCGTCCGTCAGCTCGAACGAGGCTGACTTGTATCAGTAAGGTGAATTCAGCATAACCTCACGCACTCCGCTGTAGCTCACTCTCCTCACAGAAGTCACAATCTGGGCACCGCCCATTGAGAAGGCCCATCCAGCATCATAGCGAGTGTATCAAGGATCGCAAGGCCGCCTTCTGTTTGGTTGGCGCTCGGTGTTCTGAAGCGAGAAGAACGAGCTGGGATCGATTTACTGACTATTTGGGGCAGAAGACCTGCGATCGATCAGCTGGAGTCAGTGTCAGCCTCTATGGTTCGGACTTTCGGGAGATGCTGTATTTTCGGATGCGAACAGTAGCGGCTGACCGTGCTAACCTCGAGGTTGGCACAAATCAAACCATCCAGCCGAGTCCGCCACAGAGCGCCCGTCGTGGTATAAACAGCCGCCATTCCGTCCACTCCTTCTTTCCTCACCACCACCACCGTCTTCGAAGATGTTCTCTAACCACTTACATCTCCGGCCGTGACCACGGTTCATTTACACGCCGGATGCCTTCTTCTCTCAGGCCTTGCTGCCTGACGACGGTGGTCAGCATGGGACCCGACGTCCATGGGTATTCTTCTCGCTCACCTTGCCGTCCCATCCTTGCTCATTACGATCTACCTCTCCCAGCGTCGGAGACCCAGGTACGCTCGAGGTCAATCGTGAGTTGCTCATGTCGCTCGTTGCTCTACGCCACATGTTGACTGTGGC